TACGCCCCTGCAGGGAAGTTTGCATCTGGGCTCACACTGACCTCGCCTCACTGTGTCTCTAGTACAGTAATACACGGCCGTGTCCTCGGTTTTCAGGCTGTTCATTTGCAGATACACCGGGTTCTTTGAATCATCTGTTGAGATGGTGAATCAGCCTTTCACAGACGCGGCGTATTCTGTCAGGTAACTGTTAGATTTGCTTCTAATACGGCCAACCTACTCCAGTCCTTTCCCAGAAGCCTGGCGGACCCAGTGCATAGCATAACTACTGAAGGTGAATCCAGAGGCTGCATAGGAGAGTCTCATGGATCCTCCAGGCTGTACCAGGCCTCCCCCAGACTCCACCAGCTGCACCTCACACTGGACACCTGCAAACACAGAGACATCCTAGTCAGAAACTGCCACACATATTCACTGTTTCTCTCACTCATATCCACTCACACTCAGTATCTCTAGTTTTCCATGAGTCCCCTTTTAAAATAGCAACAAGGAAAACCCAGCTCAGCCCAAACTCCATGGCGAGTCTCCTGTGTTCAGTGCCGATCACCAAATGGAGACGGCTGGGAATCCCAAGGCTGGGGCTCCTCTCCCAGAGCTGCAGGGTCAGGGCTGGGCTGCTTTTCATCAGCACCAAGGGGGATATTATTTGCATGTCTCCTACTATATGGCAAGCTCAGGGTGGGACGCCTGACGAGAGGGCTGTGCACAGAGTAGAGAGTGTCCTGGGGGAGATTGGTAGCAATCCTGTCATTCAGGAAAATATTATTTCATAGTATGTGATCATATCTCGATAATCATTTAGCAGTCATCATCTAATTTCATTTTTACATACTTGCACACTGTATTTCTGCTTATGTATTTCTGAAGTCCCTTGGCTTGTCTGAGTGATGTCTCTGTCCTCGACACTGACACTGTGAAGAGTCTGAAGTCATCGTTCACAGGGGCAGTCCTGGATGTACACGCAGTTTCCATGGAAACTCTGTCATTTGCCAGTGTTGCCTTTGACAGCCTAATTCTACTTGACCATTTGTGTCTCTTAACATCCCATCTAGATGTTACACTGTGCTCATTTCTGGAATGAAGACATTGTTTTGTAACATAAATTGATCAACAATCTGATGCAATTAAATTTGGCTTCTTTTTGGGGCAGTTTTTGAGGTTTGTCCTGACCCCAAAATATTACTGTTTTGAAGAAATGGAGTCTAGCTGTGTTTCCAGGCTAGGCTTGAAATCCTTGGCTCAAGTGATCCTCTCACCTCAAACTCCCAAGTAAATGGAACTCGAGGCTGTGCCATGGTGCCCAGCTGGTTATTCTTCAATTACAGTTTTTCTTATTCTCTCTGTTAAAAATGAGTGGACTGTTGTTTTCTATGTTGCTCTCATGGAGGTATCAGCTTTCTATTAATTGCTTACCATGAAAACCACTAACATTTTAGGTGAACTTTAGGGTTGAAAATACTCTCATTCAACTGCAAATCAAGGCACAGCCTTTAGAGAGAGCTTTGTATCACTGTTTTTATGCCCTGCCTCTATCACTATAAGAATATACCAGACTATCTTGGTGCAGAAGAAAGGGTTCAGGTATCTCAGAGGGACATTCCTGCTTTAAGTACAGAAAACTGCGTGGGAGTGGTGGACTCCTATGATGTCATTGTGCCTCTCCCAGGAAGCTCCCCAGAACCTCTGCCCCACAGGTGAGCTGGCATGAGAATCACTGGGGTACACCAGTTTATGGCCTATAATACATGGCATAGAAACTCTGTCATGTAAGTGGGGCTGGGAGGAGATAGGGATCCATCACATCACAGACTGGAATTTAGTCTTCACCATAAAGACCCTACACCATGACGTCAACTGAGATCTGGGGGAGAGGGAAGCACCACCTTCCCGGTCAGTTCAGCCCAAAGTCAACATTCTGTGATCCTGAGATGTAAAGAAGAGGGTAATGCTCTTCTCTGAAGTATTCTGGGTCCTCACTGCACTTGCCGAGACTGAACTGCTGTGAGAGAATACCACGGACTGGGTGGCCCAGAAGTAACATAAATGTATATGTCCCGATTTTCAAGGCTGGGAAGTTCAAGATAAAGATGCCTTAGAGATTCGTATCTGGTGATGTCCCAATTCTTTTTTTATAGATGGCCACTTTCCTACCATAACCATACCTGGTGGAAGGAAAGAGGGAGCTCTCTGGGGTATTTTATCAGGGCACTAATTCCACTCAGGAGACGGTGCCTCAACAACTTTCAAAGGAGAATGAAGACCCCACCTCTACCACCATCACACTGGAGTTGAGATTCCAACATATGCCTTATGGGGGTCATAACCATTCAGTCAATAGGAGCACATTATAACAATCAATGATTTTTATTTACTGCGTGTTCTTAGAATAATTTGCTTTTATATTAAAGGCTGAGTTTTTATGATTTTTACCAGATGAGGTTGTTTCTTTGCAAAACTTGGAGTTTCTCAAGCCATCACCCTTATAGTGAGATAACGCTATTCATATTCATAATTGAAGCTTCCTCATTAGGGCCATAAGCATTTTGAATGTTCTTCTCTTAAATCATTTCCCATGATAGAATAAACTTGTCCCTCCTCATAAGTATTATCATTTGTTCAGAAATACACATTTTTTATATTTTAATATGCAAATCCACCTTTCCTTTATCTTTTGTTATCGTGGTGTCTTTCTGTATGTTTTAAAATTTGTAAGTAAATATGTTTAAAATTTAGGATAGTTTTGGATTTTAAGGAGAGCTCCCTGTAGTAGGGTGTGTACAGCTTGCCCTGGTTCCCCCTCACTGGTCCACACTCTACCAAGCCTGGGGCTCTCTCCTGCCGTCTGTGGGGCTCACTATTCTATCTTTGTTTATTCTCTTTCTGTTTGGTTTTATGATTTGATGTTGTTTTGTAGTAATAATGTTTCTTCTCTTTTTTATTGTTTCTACCATTGAAATATAATTTTTGTGTGTTTTTTTCCAAGGTGATGGTTTTCATATGCTGGCTTTTATACAAAAATTCCCTTGAATATTTCTTGTATGACCCATCAAGTGTGAAGAAAACATCTTAGTTTATTTCACCTGAGAAATAGCTTATTTCTCTTTCATTTCTGAGAGAAAGACCATCTGGGTGCACTATTTCGGAATTGCTGATTTTGCTTACTGCTTTTTAATGTATTCACCAATTTTATTAGAAACTCCTATAGATATCCAGGATCAAACATTATTTGTGTTTGGATCATGTCAAAACTGAAACCGTTTTTCATGATAACTACACTGTTTTTAGTCCCACCATTGTGAAAAACAATATAGCAGCTCATAAATACATCAAAAATGGAAATACAATATGACTCAGCAAACCCTCTTCTGGGAATAGAGCCAAAGGAAATAAGATCATAAACTTGTAAAGACACCTGCGCTCTTATGTTAATTGCAGCTGTATTTATGGCAGCCAATATATAAAAACAACCTAAGTGTTTGGTGATGGACAAAGGGATGAAGTAAAAGTGGTATAAGAAAACACTACAACATTATTCAGCCTGATAAAAAAGAGATGCTTCCATTTGCCACAGGCTGGTAGGACCCCCACCATCACTACCAATGCAGTCCATCCATTCCAGCCCTTTCCTGAGCTGGCAGATTCAGGCCCAGTCATAAGCACTGTAACGGAGTGACCAGAGACACACGTGATGCAGAAGGTCCGTGTGGGCTCTTCTAGCCTAGGGCTGACTCTGTAGCTGCTCCAAAGACAGGGCACCGGGAGATATGAAGAATCAGTCTCTGCTAGTCATGTGCAACCACATTCACCCCATAGATCAGGGCTTGACATCTGAGACAGATTGGGAAGCTGTCAACAGGCAAAAACAAAAAACAAAAAAAATCACAGTGAAGTCATCTTCTTCATGAACACAATTCTGCATTTCACAGGTACTTTAGCACTATCTAACGAGAGAGCTTTTAGCTTCCAGAATCCAAAAGTGTATTTTTTCCTGGAGTTTGAACAATAATTTGGATGTGGAACAGGCTTGTCCATATAAGTCAGAGACTTTGAAATCAGATTCCTGCTGTATTTTAGTATTTTGTCTATTTATTTTGTGGTTGTCTTGAAGCACTCATTGCCAAAACCTATTTCCACTGCAGTTATTAAAATCGGCTCAATTTTCATTTTTCTATCAGTGACATGAGCTTTTTTTTTCCCAAGCCAAACTGTATCCAGCTTTATTAAAGATACTTTACATAAACAATGATGGTATTTCAGGCAGGACATGGGCAGACAATCGTTAACAGTATACAACAACTTTAAAACTCCTTTCTTCAATGGACTACCAAAAATCAGAAAGCCACTCTAAAACCCAATGAAGTCTTCATTTGATGCTCTGAACAGGGAAAGTTTAGAGTGAGGGTTGACATTTCACATTTAGCATGTTGTTTAACAACTTTTCACAAGCCGACCCTGACTTTCTTGAAGTGAAATGAAAATGGCAGAATTTATCTGAAGATCCACAGTCTAGAAATGGAACCACTGCTGTTTTGACAGGTGCCATCTCAGTGGCATCACTGGAAAGTCCAGATTACCTGACACACTGGTAACCAATGACTAGGGGTCAGGTCCCAACAGATGTCTGGGCTTAAGGGAGTTAAGTCTATGCCGAAAGATGGAAAGGGAGAAGAGGACATAAAAACAAATTTGTTTTTCCATACCACAAGGCTTTTGTGCCAAGGTGGCCATGTGTGTCACAGTCAGGGACTCCCTCCTCCTGGGAGCCAAGAGGAAGTCTCTCAAAACTAGAAGGGAAAGGTGTTTTCCCCACATCAATCCAGCTGTGGAGACATTCTATTAGTGACATATGCCCCTTCCCCCAAAAACAACAATGATGTGTTCTGTGTGCTAACAACATAGCTATAAAAAAAAAAAATTCCGCATTTTTATAAAACTTGATAAAAAATAGTATTTCAAACTGTACAGTCACCAGAAGTACAGTTATCAAAAATGCACACGCTTCACTTGGCATCTCCAGCACCTTCAGCTTTCTGTGCCTGCTCTGTTTTGGCATCTCCGTTTTCTGCAGCGTTCTTCCCCTCCTTGCCAGCATCAGCTTTTCCCCTTTTCCCTTTGGGTACCTTCTCTCCCTTCTTTGCAAGGGCCTTTTTAGGCTTGGGCTCCAGAGGAGCAGGTTTAGCAGACAACCTCGCGGATCTTCTCTGTGGTTCGTCCTTCACCTTGGCTTTATCTCCGTTAGCATCCCCTTCAGCCTTTCTCTTGGGCGTGGTGGCGACGGCGACGGCGGCGGAACGTAGGTGCTGGACGCGGGATGCAGCGCGCGCGGGCTTTGGTCGGTCTGGGGGTCGTTCTCGCCTCTTCTTCTTCACACTGCTCCGAGATGAGCTTTTATGTCAAGTGACTGACATGTACCCCCTACAGAAAATATTACAAAATAACGCTGTGAGTCCATTCGTCATTCTTAAATACCACACTGCCATTGCCACCAAGAATCCTCTGGAAAGCTTGAACTAAAAATAAATAGTAAATAATATTCTTAAAGTAAAACTAGCAAATCTTTAAGAAACCTATGAACTCCATTTTCCAAAGCTACTTGCACTAGCACTTATGACCCGTGATTCACTTCATCAAAAACACCTCCAGCACCACTTTAAGTTTGGAATGTGGAAGGCACGCACATTTTTTCTTTTATCTTCAGTGTCAGTGTCTGCTTTATCACATGAAGACACAGCAATATATTTTAAGAGATTGATGTGTGAGGCAGAAACACTGAACGATACATTAAGGTTGCCTTTCCATCATATCTTCCTAAAAATCCTTTATATAGTAAAAAGAAAACAACAACAACAACAAAAAACAACCTCACATTCCCAATTTTTGTATTGCAAGAAACATCAGACAAAAACAGAAAAACAGCTTCAAAGATTGTCAGAAGGGCACTAATATTAACACTAATATTAAATGAGGCAATTACTTCAGGGTGTAAATTCTTAAGGCTGTTAAAGTTAAAATGAGAAGGGTTAAGTAAGTTGCTTTGAGACAATTTTCCTGGGCTGCAAAGATTAATAACAAGGGTGGCAACAGGGGAAAATTGGACACACAGTACATGAGGACATATCCTTGCGGGAGTAACTTTTTCCTAAAGATGTAGTGGATTTTGGGCAAGGCTGTGCTTTTTAAGGCTCTCTTTGTGATAGTTCTTGTTACCAAGTGTAAGTGTGTGAGAACCCTCCCTCTACAGCTTTTCCCAGTCCCATTTCTAAAAGTTTTAACAAAAGTGACTCCGTTTTGATTCTGACAACATTCAAAAGCTCCTCTGGTTCGCACAACACAGAATCAATTCCACAGCTGCATTTCATTGTCACCAAACAAGCTTATGCCCTTCAGTTCCCCTGGGCCAAATTTCCAGATGGGTCTCCATGAAACACAGTGGAGGGTCCCAAGCACTGGGGAAAGAAGAAAGTCCCATCATCCTCCCACATGTGGCTGCAGGAGCCACAGACTGAGCTCCACCTGAGCTCCAGCCAAGGAACGTGAGCCCTGGAATTTACACCATATGGACCACATCTTTCTTTTTCAGGGAGAAGAAAATGAAAAAGTGAGAACAAATAAAAAGAAAGAAAATTGATTGACAGCAAAAGGGGCACCAGATGAGTGCTGATACGGCTTTGCATATTTTAATATCAAGAGAAGGGGCATCCATGAAACATATGAGGTTCTACGTGACACTGACTCTGGCCTAGCCTCTCTCTTGGCTGGAATCAGAATCCCTAAAGCCTTTTCTAATCAGGGGATTGAAATTAGTTTCCTGTCCTGAGTCTGATTGGAGAAGACCCACAAGGCACCCCTGAGCTTCCTCAGGACTCTGATCTTGGTGACCATGGCTGAGGACTTCTCATGCCTGGAAGTGGTTTTTGTACATGCGAGACTAGGCCTTTATATTACAACCTTTTAAAAGGTGTGTATTTGGAGATTTGTTTGGTAGGCACAGAACTGTAAATTAGTGAGGTTCTCTGGGAAACTGTCAGATGGAGAGGGAAGTTCCAAACACTGAGAAAACCAGCTCCTACCCTCTATCTGCACCGGCCTCTGAGGTTGAATCTGACAGTGGGTCCTGAGCGCCCCCTGTAGCCGATTTCCTCCATGAGTTTCTGCAGAGAGGTTTGTGTCTGGGTTCAACCTGACTTCCCTTCACTGTGTGTCTGGCACAGTAATACATGGCTGTGTCCTCAGCTCTCAAACTGTTCATTTCCAGATAGAGTGTGTTCTTGTTCTTGACATTGCTTCTGGAGATGGGGAATCAGAACTTCACAGAATGTGCGTAACATGTGCTACTCCCATCATTGCTAACACATGAGATCCATTTCAGTCTGTTCCCTGGAGCCTGGCACACTCAGTGCATCCAGTGGCTCCTGAAGGTGAATCCAGAGGCTGCAGAAGAGAGTCTCAGGGACCCCCCCCTCCAGGCTGTACCAAGTCTACCCCAGGCTCCACCAACTGTGCCTCACACTGGACACCCAAAAACACAGAGGCATCCTGGTCAGAAACTGGCACATATTTTCAGTGTTTCCTTAACTGTTATCCACTCACACTCAAAATTTCTAGTTCACCCTGAGTCTACTTTTAAAATAGTAACAAGTAAATGCCAGGTCAGCACAAACCCCATGGTGAGTTCTCTGTGTTCACTGCTGATCACCATGTGGAAAAACCTTGGAATTCCAGGGCTGGGGCTCCTATCCCAGAACTGTAGGGTGAGGGCAGGGCTGGTTTTCACCAGAGAAGGAGGGTCCTTTGCATATTTCCAACTACATAAAAAACTCTAGGGTGGGATACATGAGGAGAAGGCATTGCCGAGAGAAGATGATGGAGTCTCCTGCAGGAGTTTGGTGACTTATGGTATTTGGAAGATTTGCACTTTTATTAGGAAATTGTGCAGTGATAAACACTTAGCACCAAACACCACATTATATTTTTAAATATGGTGTAAATTATGTCTGTGAGACTCAATGTTTTCTCCATTTACGGATGTGAACGTAAACCCACACACAGAGAGTCTATGTCTGTGTCTAAGTGCTCACGTCTGAGATGACCGAGTTCCAGTATCTGAGCCTGTGCTTCTCATCACTGTGCTCCCTGAACCAACTCCAGCACAGAGCTGGACATGTCTAGTGCGGTTTGCAGAACTCACTGCCTGTAATGAGAACATTGTGATTCCGCTACACTCTAGCGTTCACCTAAAATTATGGAGAGAACTAAGGTTCACGCAGATATATTTTCAGGTAATTGGCATTTAACATACGTTATCCATTTTGTATCAGTTCTTTTTGTCTAATTTTTTATTTGTTTGCTTGTAATAAACTTTAAAAGTTTAATTGAGAGACAATAAACTTCATATCCTTAAAGTATACATTGATAAACATGACATAACTATCACTATTGTCAAGAAAGTGGGCAAGCGAATTCCCCTCAATTTTTTCTCCTGTTCCACATTTCCTCCTTCTATCCCTTTCCCTTCTTCTGCCATTTCCTCAAGCAACAACTATTCTTCATTAAATTATTGTAGTTTTCATTTTCCAGAATTTATAGAAATGGAATAATGTAGTATATACACTTATTCGTTTGGCTTATTTTACTCACCATAAATACCTAGATGTTTTAGCTTGTCATTGTGTGTATCAGATATTTATACATTATAAATGATGGGGAATATTACAGTGAACAAATGTACTATAATTATTTTTCCTATTGAGAAGCTAATTAATATGAGGAAGCTTATGTTATTCTGGGTTTTACCAAAAATATCTGCTCCTCAGCTTGGAGAAGTATATAGATAAGAAATATATATACATTTTGTATTTTACAACAACAACATCAGCAATAACAGATAAACAGAAAATAAGAAATTTGGCAAATTGTCTTTCATACTTCAGATAATCAAAGATTTAAGAAAAACAACAAATCTGAAATTTGGAGAGAGACGAGTTCTTGCAGAGAGTAACAAAGTCAGGGTATGAGATTACCTGAGGCAGAGTCTGCCATATGAGATACTTCAAATACATATTCGATTGCTTGAAGTCAAGAGTGGTGAATGTGCTCTAGTGTAAAATTCCCAGGGACCAAATACTGAAGAGCTTTCCTATTCTCTTGAATATCTTTCCCCTAGAAAAGGGACAATCCCATAAATCATTCTGTACCAGAGTGTCTGGAAGAGAATGAGAGCCTGAACTTCTAAAACAAATCCAGACCCACCTCCTCCTCCTTTATCACCATTATAGAACTAAGAAATTACACTTTAGGGGCAGGACTCTAAAACCAGCATCCGAAGGGCTGAAATAGATCCTCTAGAGGATGGAACAAGGTGACAATACAAAGCCAGGCAGAAAAGGAAAACCCAGTGTTGCTGTTAATACTGTATCAGTTGCCTCTAGCTTAGGTAGATTGTCATTGATAACCTGGGTTGGGTCTGATTCCAATCAGAGAAGAATGGGAGAAGGTAAAATGCCATGGTGTTTCAGCAGGTTCAGCTCTCTCCGAGACTTCCAGCCTGCATTTATTTACGGCTGGTCTTATGAACACTGAACGTGCTTAGACATCTCTCATAATTATTATCCCCTGTATCCCACAGAAAATTGGCAAGTCCGTCTGCAGCGTGTCAAACCTGAATATCAGACAGAAAAAGACTCTAAAGTAAAGTGATATTTATTTGAGAATAAGCATTGCAGTGGGAATGTGCGTGGGCACATTTGGGTAGTTAAATAAGGAAAGTGTTTTAAAGAAAAAATGAGGAGGGCCACATATACGGTTTTGAGACAGTTAACCAGGGATAAAATGATCAATAACCAGGGTGGCATCAGGCTAATATTGTGCAGGCAGCTCTGGGCAGATGTACTTGGAGAAGTAATTATTTTAAAGTTGTGCTGGCCTTTGTGCAATGTTGTGGTTTGGCAGAATCTATTTATGACAGTTCTTGTTAGGGAATACATGTGTGTAATGAGAACCCTCCCTCATGGCCTTCCCAGCTCCATTTCCCAGGGTTTTAACACAGATTGTTCCATTTGGATTCTGACAACTTTCACAGTCTCTTTCTAACACTATGGTGAGAAAAGTGACTCTATGACTGTTTGCACAGCACAGGATCAAATCCACATCCACATTTCATCACCTTCACCACTAATGGCCACAGGCATCTCAGATGATTCTCCACAGCACCATGGAGGGCTCTGAGTCATGAGAAGGGAAGAAAGTCCCATCAGCCTCTCTCACGTGGCTGCAGGGGCCACAGCCTGAGACTCACCTGAGCCCCCAGGAAAAGGCTTGAGCCCTGGAATTTAGACCACAGAAAGTATGTCTTCCTTTATCAGGAAGCAGGAAAAGCAAATGAAAAAGTGAAAGCCACAACTAAGAAAAAAAATGGATATAGCAAAAGAAATGACTAAACGATAACTAAAAGGAAAGAATATGGAAAGCAAAAGAAAAATCAAATCACTGCTGATACTCAATTTCATACTTCATTGTCAAGAGAAGGGTCATATATGGAAGTTGTGAGGTTCTATATGACACTCATTCTGGTGCAGACTGTCTCTTGGGTATGATCAGAATTCATAAATAGTATTTGAATCATGGAATTTCACTGAGGTTAACTACTGAGTCTGATTGGCGATGACCCACCAGAACGCCTAGGCTTTTTCAGGACTCTGATATTTTTGACATTGGTTGATAATTTTTCTTCTCTGTGTCAATCTACATTTTGTGCATGGGAAAATATGTCCTCATATTATCATGATTATATATAATATATGTGTGTGTGTATATATGTGTGTATAACAATGGTGCACACAGAATTCTAAAATGAAGAGGCTCCCTAAAGAAAGTGACAGAAGAAGATGATGAAGTCCCACATCCTGAGAGAAAACCAGCCTCTAACCTTCATGTGAACCTGCCTCTGGAGTGGCCTCTGACCACTCTCTGACCACACTGCACCTGATTTCTCCCCAGCGCTCCTACAGGGAGGTTTCCATCTGGGCTCACACTGACTTCTCCTCACTGTGTCTCTTACAGTAATAGACAGCCATGGTATCAACAATCAAACTGTTTATCTGTAGATACAGTGAGTTCTTGGTGTTTTCTCTGGAGATGGTGTATCGGCCCTTCACAGAATCTGAGTAGTATGTGCCTCCACCACTCGCATTCATGTAAGACTGACTCCAGCCCCTTCCCTGGAGCTTGGTCCACCTAGTGCATGCCATAGCTTCTGAAGGTGAATCCAGAGGCGGGACAGGACAGTCGCAGGGACCCCCAAGGCTGTGTCACTCCTCACCCAGACTCTACCAGCTGCACCTCACATTGGATACCTGCACACACACAGAAATTCTGGTCAGAAACTGCCACTGTTTCTCTCACTCATATTCACTGACACTCAATATTTCTAGTTCTTCTTGATCACCTTTTAGAACAACAACAAACAGAACCCAGCGCAGCCTCAACTCCATGGCATGTGTTCAGTGTTCAGTGCTGATGACTGAATGGAAGCACCTTGGTATTCCAGGGCTGGGGCTTCTGTCCCAGAGCTGCGGAGTCAGGGCTGGGCTGTTTTTCATCAGCTGAGAGAGGGCCCTATTTTCATGTCTCCTAATATATAGAAGGCTCTGGTTTGGGATGCCTGAGGAGAGGGGAGGGCCAAGAGAAGATGAAAGATTCCCAGGGGAGATTTAGATTTACATTGAATGTTAATATTGATCAATGAGATGATTATGTGGTTTTTATTTTTACTTGTGTTTATGTGATGAATCACGTTTATTGATTTCTGTAAGTTTGAGAATGGAATACAACACAGTCGTAAGAAGGATAAGATCATGTTCTTTGCAGCAACATAGATGGAGCTGGAGGTTGTTATCCTGAGGAAACTAACACAGTAACAGAAAATCCATACCTTCTGTTCTCAAGTGTAAGTGCGAGCTAATCATATTGATACAAAGAAAACAACACACACGAGGTCCTACTTGAGTGTGGAGGGTGGGAGGAGGGAGAAGAA